ATTCCAGTTGATATTCTGAGAATTATTTGGCAGCTAATTAACAATAATACCACATAAAACTTAGAAACTGTATACATGAGAGTTAGCTAACTGAGCGAGAGATAATTGGCCATATCTTGCAATATCTGAAACCTAGACAAACTTATGGAAGTAGCGTTGCCCTGTAAAATGTTAATGTAAGGCATATTCTAATCTTGAGGACTGTTTCATATGTGATGGCTTTTTAAAGTTCTATTCCATGATCTTCATTATTGTAAATATTTAAAGTAATACTTTCAAATAGGGCTTGAGGAGTTAGCTCAGTGGTAGGGCATTTGCTTAGCAAGCTCCGGGTCTTGGGTTTTTGTGACTAGCACAAAAAAAATGTTCAAAATAATGCTTAGATAAGCATCATAAAAAGAACCCTTTGAACAATTTGAAAGTGTAAGAACAGTTTCATATGTGCTTGTTCCATAACTGTAAACCAAATTATTTTGAGAGGTCAAATCATTCAGTGAATAAAGTACTGGTTTTCCTATATTATAGGATTCATCAGTGTTATTAAGAGTTACTTACAATTGGTTTACATTTATAATTAATCCATATTTTGTTTGCTAATCTATGGCAGACTTTTCCTCATTTTTCCTCTGATTTGTCCCTGGAAAAGCTTCTGTGCTGAAGGAAGGATAGCAGAGGAAACAGATAAAATATAAAAAGTTGATGTAAATATTAAATAGATAAAACAAGGAGACTCAATATTAAGCCATATACTAAAGATGCTCTGGAGATTCCATTGTTGATTTTTGTGTATAGTTTCCCATTACCCAAATGCCCAAGAATACAGCAAAGCTGACAGGAAGGGCTCTTTTTAGTACTTGATCTGGTAAAGTTCAGAAAAGAATATTCTAAGGAGGATCAGTGTTTGTTCAAGCTCTCAAGATTTGCAGTAGAAAGTTCCACTGGAATGCCTCATTTTGCATGTAAGATTTCTTAGGTTCTAATGACCAGTGTGACTGCTGTTAGTGGAATATAGGAGCCTGTGAATGGGATGGCTTCCATAAAGAACATGTGTTGAGGTAATACTAATTTGCAGTGACAGACGAACAATCATGAATTCAAAGAATTGCATTGATTTCTCATCCCCACCAGATAGTTTCTGATTCCTTGAGTTCAGCATCCATTGACTCCCTCACACTTTTACTATGTGAAGATACAGTGGTCAGGAGGAGTTGAATAAGTCATTTCAAGCTTCTTAGTCTCTACTAGCAAATAATTACCGTGGAGGGTATTTTCTCTCTATTGTGTTTTTATTAGAATGTGTGTCCTTCTTCTTTTTCTATGTAGTTTCTCTGCTTATTGGGATTCTCTGCTAGAATGGAAGGGCACTTCTGATGTCTTTACTGTTCTCTTGACTCACTGAATTCTGAAAATGAAAGTGTTTTTTACTTACTGCAGTCTGCATTCTGTCCCTATAGGTGATTCCATCAAGTGCTTTCTCCAGCCCAATTTAAATGATTTAAGAAATATGGCTTTGATCACAGCCCTTAGAAGAGAAGTATGTGACACATTATGGTCCATGTATCTTATAAATAGGAAAGGCTTCTGGATGGGCAATATCGAGTTTTCCTATTTCATATTCCCACAACTGCTTCAGAACACATCATCTTACTCTAATCTTGAACAATCAACTTTCTTTTTAGGCAAGAAATGTACTTTAAATCCTTCATCTTGATCCTATTTTCTAGAAGGCAAGCTTTCTTAATTTAGACTGTTAATCTTCCCTCTCATCATCATTGCTATATCTTGTTCTATTACTTTTCTTGGAATACCTTCATCTGTGCAGATGCCTTGCTTATAATGAAGTTGAGTGGAACTGGCCTAGATGGTCTGTCACATCTCTATGACCCTTGTCTTGACCTCCTTCATCCACTTTCTTTGGCAAATCTATTTTAGAACTAGGAGTGACTATCTTGGAAATGTTCCAGTCAGGATCATTTTTTAAAGAAGTGTCTATTATTTTCTGCTCTTATTGCCATACATAAGTAGTACCATAAAACAAACAAATCAAACAATTATGCCTCTATCTAGGAACTTCTGATTCAAACATGCCCCCCTTTGGTTGTTTATTAAGACTTCTCTTCTTGAAGTACTTTTCTTCAATAATAATACCATGGTCAAGTTGTGTTGCCCTTGCATGGTCATGTTATTAATGTTCAATTAGTTTATAAGGGCATCTGCAGATCATTCTTTTAAAGTACCCTATCATTCCCTTGGTCTCATTTAAGTCTCCTGTATTAGAAATTAAGTCAGATTCGTTAATGTGAAGAAATTAAAAGCAATCCTATATGTTCTTGGTCATATGAACCTAGTAAGAATAATTATAGAAACTTGTCTGACATCTTACAATCACTTTATGTCTTACCTTGAAGAGATTCCTCACCCAATTTTTTAATATCATGGCAAAAGCATGAAGCATATTAGTTGAAGTCAAACAGATTGTGTGAACATTGTCAAGGGGCTAGACCCTTGGGTTGCATCCTGTATCAAAGCAAGTTATCTTGTTTTAACTAATATCATCACTACAAGCATTTTCACAACCAGTCACAACAAATTCACCTGAAATGTCAGCACAGTGTATTATTGTGCATCTTTTTGATGCAGCCTAGTTTTGCATTGGGTTCCTGAAGTTGTTTTTCATTTCCCAATTATCAATCGGCAGACCATAAGAAATACTTATGATTATAGTCCAACTTCAGTATGTTCTATTCCATATTTATAAACTACTCATTTGTATTCTTTTATTGTAATGGGGTAGAATTATAGCTTCTTTATTGGCTAGTCAAAAATCTAAAGATGTTTATTGAAAAGTGGGCAATATCTTCATTAATCTTTATGACCTTTAAATCTTTGAAACAAGTGAAGTGACTTAAGTTCTTAAGATTTCAGAACCAGCTTTGAAAATAATAGCCGTAATTGGCTAGTATATTCTCTACTAATAAAAAATCAGGCAATGCTTATTATTTAAAACCAATGGCACATTTCAAGTTATTAAAAACAGCTAAGATAAGCCAACTAATCAATGATTCAATATGTAAAAACTGAAAGTGAAACTTCATAGGGTCATTTATTTCATGATCTCATGAATAAACGCTATTGTATGCTGAATTTGAATTTATGCATAAAATTATATAAAACGGAAATACAGCAAGGAAAATCCATGTAGAGTACCCTTGCTTTTTCTCACTCAGGGAGACTATCAGATGTGAGAAAAGTACCTTCTGCATACACACTTGATGTTTTTTTCTTTGGTTTCATCTTGAATTCTTTAAAGACATTCTTTAAATGTCTCCAAAGTTTATTTTCAAGTTGAAAATGGGAGTCATGTTGCTAAATCTATCATTAATTTGAATTTAGTAACTTCCGTGTTCCAAACTGCTCCCAAACCTCCCAATTTTGCATAATTTTATATTGTAATTATCGTAATACACATATACTTGGTAAATGACAATAGAATTAAAAAATTGAACTGCATTGATTTAAAAATCAAAGAATTACAGATTTGGTATTTTATTTAATCTGCATATTCAAACAGGCTTTGGCAAGGCCAAAGTTATTATTTTGAATTTTACTTTTGGCTGACATACTTTCTGTTGAAAGAGCTGGTTTTATTTTTCATCTATTCCCCTAGACCGTTCTCAACTTGTGTAATGATGAGACCCTTTAATGCAGTTCATGTTGCAGTGAACACCAACCATAAAATTATTTTGTTGGTACTTCATAACTGTAATTTTGCTAGTTATGAATCACAATGTAAATATTTGAGACTCAGGATATCTGATATGCAGCCCATAGAGGGTATATGACCCATAGGTTGAGAAACACTGCACTAGACAGAAGGAGCTTTGGCTTCTATATGAAACAGGAACTGTTCTTTGGTACCACTTATTTTCTTTACCGCAGTTCCTACTCCATAGCTTGTATCTGTCACATGAAAAGAACCACCATAGTTCCTTGTAAATTGCTGCATCTTGACTGAGATAAAACTGGAGAGAGATAAAACTGCAGAGAGATAAAACTGGACTCAGATATTAAAATTCTGCCTGCAAGACTGGAGTTGATTATTCCAACAATGTTTGGTCAGGCAGTTAGCCTCTGGGTCATATAAACTTGACTTCTGAGTATGAAAGTACAGGGGTCTGGAGGACTGTAAGAATCTTATCTTGATTTTCCTAGAGTTATGAAAATGGTCTTTACAGGCCCAGTGAAGATGCATAGTTATGCATTGTTAACTATGGAAAACATTTTTCTAAAACACAAAACAAAAAACCAAAAAGTCAAAACATAGAAATGACAATATTTTCAAAAGAGCCTATATTGAGAAGATTTCAGAATTCTAAAGGTAGAAATGGGTATTGGTTATTGGCTTATCTTTTCAATCATGCCATTTACACAATCCCATATTGGGTTCCAAAATCAGTAGTATAAATTTGCAATTACAACAATGAATGCTTCCCAATGAATGAGGTAAGTTTCCCTTTTATGCAACATGCTGGGTTATGTATGGAAGTCAAGACCTTTACCAAGCTCACCTAGCAGGACAATGGAACCTCCAAGCAAGGCACCTGGAACCCCCACATTTTGTTCCAGATTTTAAGAGTTACAGATAGCCCTTGCTTTCTCTCTTGACAATGTTCAATTTTAACAGAGGAGTCGAGTCATTCCTTTCGAGCCCATATAACTATCCCCGACAATGCTGGGCACGGGAGGGTGCTTCTTCATCCTTCTCCCAGATGGTCCCTTTATCTGTTAGTTATCTAAAGAGGTATCTGAATGACTGGCTGCTTAATGTCAATAAGGCCAGCACATGTCTCTTTCAACACCTAATTCCTTCATAACCTCTTTCTCCTAGGTAATTCCCTGTTCCCTCTTCCATTTCCCCAATTCCCTCCCAAGTAGGATACGGGATTTTTTTCTCTTGCTCTCTCTCTCACTTTCTCTTTTCTGTATCTCTCGGAAATCAGACAGGAGTTCAGAGCACTTTCACTACCTTTTATGAGGTAGATTGTGATGTCATAGATGGGGGCAGGGCTAGTCAACTTTCTACCCACCTCCCAACCTGTGCTGAGGGAGCTCCAATCGGGAGTGGAAGCAGTGACTCCTCCATGGTAAGTAACTTCACTTTATAATCTAATATCTTTTGTTATAATTATTAATTCTGAAGAGTGGGTGGGGGTAGGGATGAGCTAGAATTCCAGGCAAATGATCATATGCAAGCTAAAACACTCTTTACCTCATCAACTTTGGCCAAAGGCCCTATTTGTTTTTGAGAAAGGTTAGGAATCTGAGCAGAGCTAAACTTCAATTGGCATCCAAACTTGAGAAGCACACATGGTGTTGTCATTGCATTTTAGTCTTTCTTCCCATCAGGACTGAAAGTGTGTAATGTGTAATGTGTAATGTGTAATGTGTAATGCATCTATCTGGTAATCTCTGGGTACTCCCTTGAAGACTACTAGTCAAGAGGATATGCCAGTTTGTTGTATTTAAAGAGAATTGCAGGGTCATGCAATGTCCTTTATTGTCATTGGCCTTGAGACATTTTCAGCAATTCTAAAATCATGGAGGTAGAAAAGCAAAAGAACTGTACTTTCAACATGTTTGATTTAGGTGTTCAGGAAAAAAAGAAGAAAGCATCATAATGCCATGACAAAACTGATATTTTAACAAAAAAGTCACCTGACTCTTGCAAGTCTAGGGCATGCCATTTTTGAAGTGTAACAACCAAAGATACTACATTTTTTGTATGTTTTTGTTGCTGTTGAGTGTTGGTAATACTCCTGTTTTTATTGGGTTACTTGGTGATTAAGATGCATGGAAAGCTGCTGTTCTTGGAGTTTGTTGCTGATTAGCTCTTTATATGCTTTACTGTTTAGAGAGAAAGGATGAAGTGGAGTGAGCTGTTCTCTGGGCTACTTTCCTTGTTCTTTCCTGGGTACTTATTAAAATGCTGGAGTTGGAAGATTTGCCTGAGAGGGGATCATGAAAGTGATTACACCTTTTAGGAGATGTGGAAGGACTAGGATGGATTTGTCTTTCTTTCTTTCTTTCTTTCTTTCTTTTTCTTTCTTTCTCTTTCTTTTCCTTCCTTCCTTCCTTCCTTCCTACCTTCCTTCCTTTCTTCCCTCCTTCCTTTCTTTCTTCCTTTTGTTTATTGAACATTAGAACATGAGGCCCTTTTGGAAAGAGATGGACACATTTAGGTATGGATTATGTGAATTTTAAAACATAGAATACAAAGAGGTCATCATTTATGTTTTTCAAAGTATAGTGCCTTAATTAGACATTTATTCATGCACATTGGTGGTGAAAAAATGGGGCCAGTTTGAATGGAGATCTTTTTTGTTTTGCTTTTTGAAAATTTGAAACTATGTCTCACATATCTCAGGGTGACCTCAAGGTCATTATATAGCTGAGAATAATCTTGAATTTCTTATCCCCCATCTCCTGAGTGCAGGGATTATAGATGTACACTTCACACCAAACTTAATGCAGTGCTAGAGATTGATCCCAGGGTTTTTGGTATGCTCAGGAAGCACTTTACCACTGATCCATATCCACAACCCCCAAAAGACATAGTTCTCACTAAAAGTATCTCTGTTCTGTTTTATGCAGAACATGTACTTATTATACCAGAGTTGTAGAACTTTATATTTTAGTAAGCACTGGCTTGTTGTGGTACTGGGAATTTGGGATCTGTATGGGAGGAGTTTCTAGAATTAATTCCTCTCTTAGATTCATAATCTAAATAACTCACTATAGATTTAGAACTTTTGGATCTGGTAAAGAAAAATAGGGCCATGTTAGCCAACAGGAAGATTTTGAGTGGTAATCACCAGCATCCCAAGCTAATGTTGCCATGCACATGAGAATGCTAAAGTCTTACATGTTTGGTTATCCCCATCAAATCTCTTATCTACCTCTTATTAAATGCATTATATTCCTAAATACCAGGTAGGAACAATTTTTCAGTGCTAGAAAATAAATGTGATGTCTACTCATAGCTCAAGTTGTTAATGTTTTTTATCAACCCCCACACAGCTGCCAGGTAAGAAATGCAATATTTTCCAAACTCTTGGAACACAATCATCTTTAACTTTGTGAGTTGAGAGTGGTTGTGTTGTATGCTTGTGCAAACTCAGAGTCTACCATGGAATGTGTCATGCATGCACTTGTTGATTTTCATGTGCATGTTCCATCTATAGTGGTGTTCAGTGTTTTTTAAATGTATTTTGTATTGTATTAAAATTATAATGTATAAATGCACACATATAGTATACTCTCAAGGAGATGCTGGGTTGTAATAGTAGTTGTATTTGACTAAAATCTGTAATTGATATATTGATCCTCTTCCAGCCATTGACTGGTTAGATTTACACAAAGTCAATGACTTAGATCTTTTAAACATCTGTTTTTCTTATCTATGAAGTAGGTAGATGGTCTATAAAAGTTGTAGTCCAATGTATATAGACTCAAAAATTCTATATGTTTATGTGTTTTTGAAAAAAAAGTACTGAAAAGAGAGGACTAAATAGTTGAAAAAGTTTAGTTTTTATGTTGGACATATATTGAATCCTTAAAAAAGTTTATTCAAAAATAGATTTTAAAATATATCCTCCATCTGGTGTACTGTTTTGGTTAATACTATATATGAATAGTCTATGTTCTTCAGCATGTAATCATCATTCGATTAACTTGTTCTCTATAACCCACTTAGTTTTGAGTGAACTGAAATCTAAGGAGTAGTAGTACCATGATAAATGGCTGTTTTTTTTTAAAGAGTGATTTGTTTAGAACTCAATAATTTTATGTTCTTGTGAGATTTTTTGCAATATATATATATATATATATTTTGCAATATATATATATATATATATATATATATATATATATATATATGTTCAATAAAATGATCTCCTTGAGGACTCTGAAGTTCAAGGTTACATATGTAAGATTTTAGGAACCCCCATATATTGTTGATGAGTATTGAGGAGTAGAGAACTGGTAGGTACTAATCTTTAAGTTATATAGGAGATAAAGGATTGTACCTTTGTAGCTTGAGGAATGTGCAACTCTTGGGAACTTTTAAACAAGTGAAAACTTGGAAATTTTCACAATAAGTGCTTGAGTAACTAATAAATATCTCTGTGATCTTCTAACCTAAGGACATAGTTTAGATTATCCAGTATAAGTATCTTCATTTCTGAATGTGATATAAATGTCTACAATTAGCTATCTCAGGAACTACGTTTAGATTTTGAACTTGTTTATGTGGGAACAACAAACTCAGAATCAAATGTTATGGAATGACTTTGTGAGAAGTTGAGGAATTAGCCTTAGTAGTGTTGGAATGGCTACTATGTATTAGTAGTATGTAGAGCAGTATGTAGTAGTATTGTTGTTTGTGTTTTTATGTATTTGTGTTTTTGTACACGAGGATGCCAGCTAAGAATGTTTGTTTTCAAGATCTAAGAAATATTAATGGACCTGTGGATACTCTGTATTTAGATGTGATTTACATCAAAATTCAAGTCACTACTGATAGTCTTGTACTTTTCCTGAATCTTTTCTGACTTAAACATATGTTTAGTTTGCAACACACTTTACTTCTTCAGAGAAATTAAGAAGCCCACAGTAAAAGAACTTAAACTGTTTTCAATGAAGATAAAACAAGATGGCCATTTTCTATGTTATACAGAATGTCATGTGGCCATGCCTAGCCACATCTGTGGAAGAAAGTTGAAGGGAAAGGGACCAGCCTCAAGGCTAACTGGTTCTCTGGTGAAAATGGAAAGGGAACATATTTTATGAAGACATCCTTGGCAGGTTTAGAAGTGTTAGATGGTGACAGAAATGTTGAACAACCAGTGAGAATCTGTGTCATAAGGATGGCTTTGGAAGGCAAAGAGGATGGCTTTGGAAGGCAAACAGAAGCATTTGATATATGAAGCAAGAATCATGTCACATCCACTGCTCTAGAAAAGCCACAGTTGATAAAGCTTAAGTACTAAGTAAAGCTGTATATCATTATGTAAGTCTTTTCCCTGATGAACTTGGAAGAGTTTACTGATTTAGGTTTGACTTATACATATTGACAAATGAAAACTATTCCTAAAGTCTCTGTGATATAGACTCAGTGAGGATTTGTAGTGTGTGCTCTGCCTCACTTTTTTATCATCTAAATCCATCCAAGATACTATTTTGACCTTTCTAACAGACTTCATTTCCATAAATGGAACTACCCTGCAGCCTATCCAATCTCCCAGATTCTCAGGGCTTTGTAACTAAATAAGGATTTGGCTCACACCATTCTGTGAAATGCTTTTTAGTTTCTTAATGTGACATCAAAATTACCTTTTAGATTTTATTATCTCAGGAAATCATTTTTTCCCATAGACTAAACTTGAGTATGTGAGAACACTGAAGCTTAGTGATCAAAAACAGTTTTCCAAAAGTGAAAAATTCTGTTAGAACTAATTGTTCAATACAAAGTTCAAATGAAACTTGAATATTTTTTCAATGACATTATAGATCATTAAAGGAGGCTAGTGATTTAGAAAGTTGATATTGTTCTCTTTCCCCCTAGGCTGGAGCAAGCATACTTCTAGAGAATTCTAGATATAATCAGACCTGTAAATTAACATATACTGAATATATAATATGATGTATATTGTTTGATGTAGTATAGATACACAGATGGAATTATCATGGAAGATAGATGTCTAAAACAAGTAACAATAATGTTTTACAATAATCTCCCTGAAAAAATATAACACAAGGTGATTTGAATGTCTGTGTAGAAAGTGAAAAATAGCCAAAGAAAGTATCATATCTATCTAAATATTCTATCTATCTATCTATCTATCTATCTATCTATCTATCTATCTGCATAATTTATACATACATACATTTATCTTCTTTACAAAAATAGAACCATCATAGAATAAGAGTTTTTCTTCATATATACGTACATTTTAAGCTGATTGGGCCTGATAATCAGAGAAGGGTAGAAAGTGTTGTCTTATTACCACTGTTATTCAGTCAGGAGGAGGCTATGAAAATGCAGAACCTGGGCTAAACTGTAGACTTCTTGAATAAAGATGATAGA